AGTTCCAGATAGCTAAGAGAAATTGATTCAATATTTTTCGTGTGACAAGCGTTCTCGCAACTCCTACTCTAAGTCTCAGACTAGTTTAAATAGCTCTAAGTTAATTCCTCGATCACGCAAAGCTTCTGGGAGCATACGAGGATCGGAATTCATAGTCTCTCCAGTAACCTTGTTCCGAAACCACGAAAACAATTGAGGATCTTCCTTTGTCCTATCTTCTTGAATGGCTTCCCACCCAACAGGTAGCTGGTCTAACCTAGGATCTTGCTGGACCTCTTCCAATGTGTCTTTGTTGAAGAAATAGGGAGTTTGGACTCCGCAGGAGTCGGGCTTATACAGCATGACCCATGGCACTTGGAGAGGGCCAAGGAAGGCCTCCGCGCTAGAGAACCCATGGAGATAACAACTACCAATAACTTGAAAATACCCCGTTGTCGATGGACGAAGAATAACTAATACTTGACAGCCAAGAAAGGCACATACGATATCACCTACACATATTCAGCTTCCAGACTGTACAGTCAAGCTATTTCAGGGTTATTTACTTACCTGGCTTTGCGTCCCGATGGCTCAGGCCAAAATATCCCGTTTTACAAGTGATAAAGGCCTGTTCGGGGAGGAACCGGAGTTCATGGGCATAGCTACTAATATCAACATTTCTGGTAGGCTCGTCAGAAGAACCCATAGAGCCCGCCAATACTTCCGCGAGTTTGTCTTTTAATTCCTGAAGGGAGGACCAAGTCACTATAGCGGGGAACCGATCTCTAAGTTTACCCTGGACAAGAGTGGTGATAAACGCGTCCAGGATGCTTTCCCCTGTAGGGTATTTCCCTGTCATCAAGCTTTCTGGCTTCCAAGTGTGGAGTGCTGTCAGCCGCTTAGTTATGCCATCTGGATATGTCCCTTTGTTGCTTTGCACAGTGGCCACCTTGACGCCGCACACTTCAAGAATGTCAGGGGCGCGATAAGTTGCCTCAGCACAAGACATCCCAGATACCAGCCCCGCCGCTCGGGATAGCAACTCGCTTAAGTTACCAGACAAATCGGGAACCCACGAAGGAAGTTGCCTAGGCCGACTTGTTCGCAAGCTACAGAATTCGAAGTGTAGCCGCTGCAAGTGGTACTTCAAGCCCAGAAACAGACTGCGATAAACTGTTGCCACGGGCAGAGCATACTCTGGTCGAATATGAGGCAGCAAGTTAGACGAAGCGAGTCCAAGAAGCCCGTATACCTTATCATGAGGGTTGAAGCATTCTAGATGTGTGACCACCTGGAGCAAGGTAGCGAAGTTCAGGCCTTCGAAGTTATAGCAGAATGTGCCAAGCTTTGGGAGCTTGCTCGAGGAAACACATTGAGGGATGTGTCTCTTCCACATAAGACATACAACTGCCCTGCGGAATCGTTTCCATGTCATCTGATATATTCCGCATTGTACGACTGCATTGTGGTTGGAGAGATGGATCTCTTGCACAACCCATAGTCGGTTGAAATAGGGGCGGTTTGCCAAGTCTGCAATAGCCTGCCAAGTACTGTCGTCATATGGCATATCGGTGAGCGAATCAAACCAGTCTTGGCGCACGCATCCAGGCGAAGGTCGAACCCAGTTTGCCTTGTTAATTTCGACCTGTGTGGCCAAGTAGTCTAGCGTGGATAACGCAAGCGTGCTATTGTCCGATTCTTGTCCCAGCCAGATCACAACACGGACTGCCGAGCGAAAGATATCGGCCATGCGAGGAACTTGAATATTCTTTTCACAAATACTGCTTTGGTTTATGCAAATTGCGTCAGCCCACAGTGTCCGAGCCGTATCAGGATATCGGAGATGTTTGAAGGCGCTGGCAAGATTTTCCCCAATATGAAGTGTCCTGAGTTCACATAAGCCACCTTGGGAGAGGACCTGGACGGTTTGCGGGTTACTTGTACTGCCCCAAGTGTATGATAGAGCCTCATATTGTGGGAAACACGTTATATCATTGGCAGGAGAGCCATGCAGCGATCGAGTAACACTTCCATTAGGGTGAGCCCAGGAAGAGGTATGCAAATTTTCATTCCAGAATAGGCATCGGCCCTCGGCGGTTTCTTCTGCTTCCCAACCGGATGGCAAGCTTTTCTGCAGGTCATTCAAAGGCCCGTGCTGACGAGGTTCCTCTCTCGTGGCCCTGAGTGACGCATGGTGAATTATGATCTTGATGTCAGACTCAGGTTGACCAGGTAGCAATGTGAGTATTCGAATATCGTCGTCGACTAGCTTGGAATACTCATATAAAGACATCGTGGCGTCGTGGGGAAGAGAAAGGACTGGAAAACGCCTTGCCTAAGCGGGGTTGTATCTATTCGGCCCCCAAAGGAACGGCGCTGCAATAGAGCTTCTGTGGGTCCGGCACTATTGATTGGTTAGGTCCATAAACATCTTCATCGCATTTGACATAACGTGGTTGATAAGCAAGTGCTCCACTTTCTACTTTTACGTTAAACCCGGTGTTTTAAAAATCTATTAAAAAGTCAAATTTAGCCTGAAATAGCTATAAATTTAATAACTTATAAGTTAACTTATATAAGTCTTAAATAAGCTATATAAATCTTGCTAGATTTTAAAAAAAAAAATCCTATACTTTTGTCGAAATATTCGTCTATATCTGTATTTTTAGAATCAGAGAGAATTTCGCAGTCGTCGTTCCAGTCGTCGTACCAGTCCTCGCCACAGGGTCCGTCATCTTCGCTGTCCGACTGTTACGAATTTCACTCCTTCACATAAGATCACGTGTGGAGCCCCACTTTTCATCGCCAATCAGGACTGGATCATTCGGATCTCACAACGATCCTCATGATTCACGGACACAGATCATTGCCAAGCTTCAATGATCCATTGATATATATACACATTCATTTGAGCTAGAAACACTCTCTTAGACAGTTATCAATACAATCGCTACCGTCTTCATTGAAACTAGCTCCTCAGTGCTCGCACATCAGCAGTGACTCGCACAGCACCAAGACAACCTGATCGCGCCACTCAGAACAACTCTGATTGATAACCACCCTGACCTACCCTAGACCTCCATGCAGTGTAAGTCGCCCAACCGTCACACCGACCTGTCACTAACGTGATTGTCTCCTCCCAGTTGTAGTTGACGGACCAAGCATAATGTGTGTGACGCGCAGATCGTGGATTGAAATGAGGCAAATCAGTCGCTATGGATTATATGATAAACCGCAGATAGACAAGGATGTGGATGAGCAGCTAAGGGGGGAAGACCACCAAGGTGGTCGCCAGGGAGGGCAGGCTCGTACGAAGGCTCCGCGATGTAGCAATTGTGGTAAGCCAGGTCATAATATCCGGACCTGTAGAGAGGCTGGAGAGGAGTCGGATAAGTCAATTTCTAGTGCTATTATTGTAGATAATTAGGTGTTATTATTTTAGTTAAGGTTCTTGTACGAGGTATAGGTAGAGGTGGCTCGCTCGCTTGTGTGGCTCGCTCGCTTATGGGTTACGTTAACCATATGGGCCTGGGTTGTTTTTTTGGCCAATGAGCGACTCGGCTTCGACCAAACCGACGCGGGCTATAGATGCTAGGGATTGGAAGCCAGCATAAGCAAGGCGCCAGTGTAAGCGCCATACATACGCCGACAGTCCCGCCTAAACATGAGTCTTGGACAGTGACATGGCATGATATTCCAGAATGGCGCCGGGATAACAAATACATACTCGGCGGCTATCATCCCGAGAAGGCCGACTATCTGGAAATCCTCACCAGCCTTATATTTTTGCATAACGAGACATGTAACGTGTAAACCCACTTGGGGGCTCTAATCCTTCCCCTTAACGCGACCCTCTCCACAAGAGTCCTGCGGTAACCTCAGTATCTCAACGTGTCGGGAATAGATTACGTCATGTTTGGAATCCTCATTTAGTGTGCGCAGTGTTGTTTAACCTTTAGCGCCACTTGCTACCTTATCGGACCTCATTCGCATCAAGTAGAACAGTTCTGGCATCGAGTGGATTTGCTTGAAATTGTTATCGTGACCGTGGGTATTTCATTCCAGGTATCTACTACATCTTCAACGGTGAGCCAGGACTCTAGAAGTATGTTGTGCTCCACGTAACTAATTTACAAGAAACAAGCGATCTTACCGACTTTTTGTTACGTTTTCTTCAATTAGTAATAACTATTTTATTTATCATCATAAAGTAAGAAGCCACCACATTCAGCTTGGCGATATCGTTTGTGATGTCAGTGAGACATAACCCAAGTTGATGTTTCCAAATTTAGCTCCGGTGCCGTTTGGAACGTGACCCAAAATGAAGGTATTTTGAAAGATGACTGTTAAATTGAGAATAGCCTGTTGACAAATCATCGCTTGTGGCATTCACATGGTACAATCTGGTTGCGTTATCCTTAGCCAAGGTGCAAGATCAGGACTAAAAAAAAGGAAGGTTATAGGGACCAATTTGATGATTGTGGAACTTTTTCTGGACAAATAGCTGCGTACTTTCGGTACTGTGGCGCGATGGTGTAGCAGATGACTTCATCGTGATTGCGGATGTGTCATGTGCCGGCATCCGATAGTAGTTGAGCTTTGGGCTCGTTCATTTCTTCCCGCTGGGTTGGAATGGCCCTTCTTAATTGCTAAGACGGAGAAAAATTAGATTTCGACAAAAGTAGCACATTGGGAATTTTCCTTATTCACACATAAAGTTTATAGTTACTGTAACATGTTAAATAAGCCTTTGTTAAGGTTAGGTGCATCCTCATCGCATATTCAGATGAAGCATTTCAAGTTGTTACCTTTGATACTCTGTGTTGTTGTAATATTATCTATCTAATTTATATTATATTAGACTTTTACGTTGGCCCTTTAAGATTCATTTGGCGTTTCTTCTCTGGTCTTCCTACCTGATATCTCATGATTGAGCATGGTAAAAGAGGCGGTAAGATTCATGAATGAGACTGGTTGGCTAAGGATATAGGGTTTCAGCAAGCCGGTGAGTTTGCCAAAGTTTGAAAGATCGAGATCCGAAAGGCAATTTCTCACGTAGTCACAAGGAGACTCTAGAGTGATTGCTGAAAATGAATATTTTACCTCGGGTCTTGTAAATTAAAAGAAAATAGCTTGGCGCCTCTATTTTGTTCTCATTGGGTTTGTTGCCGAGTATAGCAACCATTATTGTTTGTCAAGCACCGGGCTGACACAGCATGGATACTCTAACGAAGTATAAATAAAGTGGCCTGGCAGTCGTAATACTATCACTCTTTCATTTTCATTTCTGTTTTAATCAGAATCAAAAATTACATGCTTCGCTGTCTTGAATACGGTCAAGATCCACTAACAGTATTTTTATCTACATTAAACGGAACACATTTTCTCGAGAGCAGACACGGCTAGTTGTCAGCATGGAGACTGAAACCATGGTCCAACCTTCTGTAGTAGTCGCCGGGCACCCATCCATTGACAACTTCTCATGGAAGACATCTAAGGAAGAGCACACGCACATCGTCAACCGGGGAGGCAAAACATACCTGCTGCAGGAGCTCCTCAAACATGCTCTTGGCGACGAATGTCAAGTTTATGGCCCTGACTGGCCACAGTCTAGCCAAACATCACCTGTTCGTTCGAGAATAAACTTGATACCGCCTATTGAGAACTCAAGCCAAGACAACATGTTCCGGGTCGAACGGGTACAACATATCTACACCGAGTCGTCTTTGTCCCCTCTATGGCCAGAAACCTCAGGTGATTATCGCAACATAGGGAGCAGCATGGGGCTCTTGCTATTGGACGATACAGACGCAGGAACCGAAGAAAAAAAAGTAGACAAAGAGATCAAAAACAAGGAATCCCGCCGAGGTGATCTAAATCGGCATTATGCACATGGCACAGCCACCAATTCTGGACAGGCCGCTCCGATTGGGAGACATTCGAACGAAGAAGCTGACGCCAAGAAGAACAGTAACACAGAGAACAATGCCCAGGAGGCGGACAAAATTAAAAAGGAAATCGAGGATTTAGAAGCCAAGAGACACAAGCGAGGGGAAGCCGAACAATCGCTTTTCGATTATGCAAGGCCTCGTTGGCTTCTGTACAAGATGGGCCGTCCACTGGCACAAAGCAATCTATGGGATGTCTTCCGTGGAGGCCCACGAGCCGGGGAATCCGCCAATCCTGATCGTGACCGCATGGTAGTGGTTGTAAACGCCAACGATCTACGGGCTGAGGGCATTGAGCTAAGCAGGAATCTCTCCTGGGAAAAAACTGCCGAAGACTTTGTCATGCAGCTAGCTTGCAATGGGCAGCTTGATACTCTAGTCGCATGCGCTCATCTTATCGTTCTCTTCGGCTGCGACGGCGTGATCCATTACCAAGGTCACAGCAAAGCATCGCCTATACTGTATTTCGATTCCGAACGTGCTGAAGGAGAGTTCATGCAGACCTGCCCAGGCGGCATGATCGGCCTGTCAACAGCATTTACTACAGGGCTGGCTATAGCTCTGGCAACTAAGCCTGAGGACGCACACTGTATAGATACGGGCATCAGGAACGGCTTTGCAGCTGCACGATTTATGGCAAGGAAGGGTTTCGAATTCCGAGAAAACGAAAGTTCACCAGATTATCCTCTTATTGGTCGCAGCATAGATCCTGAAAAAGGGCTTTCCCATGTCCTTATTCCGGTCGAAAAAATAATCTCCGGGTCCGGTTGGACGATTCTCGATGACATAATAGGTGCACCGGAAGAAGTAGCTTACAAGATCGTCGAACACGGACCCAGCGAAGCACTTAGGGGTGTACCGATCGCATTTTTCGAAAAGTTTGTTACCGCAGACAGGAAAGAGATTGAGTCCTTCCGCTCAATCGTGAACATTCTGCATGAGTACTGGGAATCGAATGACCGCAAGCTCTTTAGCATCGCAGTATTTGGGCAACCTGGTTCTGGCAAGTCTTTCGGCATAAAACAAGTGGTTAAGCAAGCTATGAAGAGGCGACCAATTAAAATCCTTGAATATAATCTGTCACAATTCAGAAGTATTAAGGATTTAAATGCAGCCTTTCAACTCATAAGAGACGAAAACCTCTCTGGAATTACACCGATAGTGTTGTTCGACGAATTTGACACCACCTTTGAAACTAAGAGACTTGGGTGGTTGCGATATTTCCTGGCACCAATGCAGGACAATATGTTCCGCGAAGATGGTTACGAGCATCCTCTGGGAGGGGCTGTTTTCATTTTCATTGGAGGAACATCGTCAACCTTTGCTGAGTTCTCAAGACATCTTGATCCGGTATCGCTTAACGATGACTGCAAGTGCGAGGATGATGAGCGGAATCAGTTCATCGCTATGAAGGGACCCGATTTTCTTAGCCGTCTGAGAGGGTATGTCAACATCCTGGGCCCTTCTCAAGTCAATGATGAGGACCGAATGTATCCGATTCGGCGATCCATTTTACTCCATTCTTTAATAACTCAAAGGGCGTCCCATCTCAAAAATGACCAGGGCTGCTTGAACATAGACACGGCCGTTCAAAGAGCTCTGCTGTCCGTTCCCACTTATCGACATGGCGCTCGCTCGCTCGAAATGTTGCTTGCTATGAGCAGAATTTCTGGTCTCAAGAAGTTTGAACGTGCTGCGCTTCCCCCTGAAGCGCAACTTAGTGTACACGTCGATCCTGTGGATTTCATGGACCGGGTGAGGCACCCTCGCCTTCCGGAGAAGCTGCGAGACAAGTTAGGGCAACAGATACACCAAGACAGACAGCAAAGGCAGCGAGCCAGTGCCAGTCAATATCCAGGGTCTAGCTCAATAGTGAAGCGCTGGGCAGCTCTGAGCGAAGAGGAAAAGGAACAATCTCGTCTAGCAGCAGATGATATTCCGTACAAACTTCATCTGATTGGATGCTATATGACTGCTGAAGACAATGACGATCGAGTCGTTTCAAATTTCAAGGACAATGAACTTGAAATTCTAACATGCCGCGAGCATGAGCGATACAACGCAGAAAACCTACAGCGACAAGGCAGGTTGGGTGACCGAGATGGCCCAGGCAAACAGAATCCTTTTTGCGATCCTTGGCGAGACTTGAAGGGTGAGAAGGCTATAGTGAAGGGTCTAGAAACTGCCATAATCAGCTGCATTCCAGAATTTCTGTCAAAAGCTGGCTATACTATCTGTCGACTCGGCACTGGGGTCGAGGAGCGCCCACCCGGGATTACGAATAGGAACTTGGGTCATCGTGCTAACTCGGATGCTGGAGATAGTGCCATTGGTTTGCGTCCTATACCGGATCCTGGGCCAGACCTTTCGCGTTATGGCCAACCCTTTCGGGACATATATACCACGTTCATTCGCGATTTTAGCATGAGTGAGATCGAGAGGAGCCGTATAGAGCTTACTAACGACACTAAACGTCTTCAAGCCGTTGCTGCACGCTTCCTGGTCGCGCTAGGTTCGTTTGACCAAGACGCCGAGTTGGAAGATTCACAAGGTGAGAGTCATGGAGCGGGTGGAAGTGCTGGTCAAGGTATTCAATCATCGTCCAACAATGGGGGCAGGGCATTAAATAATGCTGGAGGGGGACGTGGTCCAATCGACCAAACTCCCACTGGCAAGAGCGAGACTCCAGGAGACGGTGACATGGTACTGGATGGGGATACCGCGTCTGACCAACGTCAACCACCTCCTTTAAGTATCCCGTTCACGGATTGGGAGTTCTCTGACCCAGCCAACTTGCCCGCAAAACCAGACGCACTCGAGATTGAACATCTTGCCGCTATAGCAATCTATGAGAGGCTATCCATTGGAGTCCAAGCCTTGGGAAACGGCGGTACATCATCAGGATTTCTGTCGGCCATACTTCACGCCTTTCATACCAGGGACTTGCTGACTATATTTCGCTCCATCGAGCGGCAGATATTTGTGCCAACTACACTGGAAAATCCCATTCAGAACACTCTCGAGAGCCTCGAGATAGCTCTGTTTGATACATCCAAGTTTGCTGGTTACGATACGCAACTTACAGCTTTGACGTTCAACGACGGGAAGTATGGCGCGGCCACTCTATTTAGAATGTCTGTGTCAGACCAGGGCCAGCCTATGAGACTACATCCTACTGTAGCTATGGAACGAATTCCCAAAGCTGTGTTGAGAAAGGTGCAATCAGGAGTCTGCAATTCGAGGAAAACGAAGCTCAGAATGCCACACTCGATGGTCTGGGATGGGACAACACAACAAATGAAAGTTGGCAGCTCCAAGACTTCTTCGAAACCAAAGTTGACGGGCAACGGGATTGCACTACAGACGAATACAGTCGGTATGAGCTTGAAAACAGCTCTCAGCATGAATCCTAGCCTTTCAGTAGTCCACTTTCTTGCGACTGTACCCCAGATGGTGGCAATGTTACACCACAAGGCATCTATCCTCAAAAGAATAAGATCTGATGATATCAAACTGAAGGGTCAAAGTAATGGGGAGGTGAAAATTGTCGAGGAACCGATTCAACGTGCGCATACGGGCTCAAACCCTCGAATTATCGTGTTATCGCCGGAAATAGGAGAATGGGTAGGAGTTGAGCTGTCTTGGAAATGATGTACCTATTTGTAAAGTCGATTCCGCTTGCTGCGGCATCAAACTCTGTTTCTGTTCAAGGTTTATGGGATGTTCATGTCAGCAGCATTGCCAACGTCGGACTAAATTGGCGGAAATGGACATGTTGTGCTGAGGATAATTGTGGTTGTTACCTCCATGAGTTTTTGGGATTTCAGATCCTAGGGCCCCATTATACTCAAGAGATTTGTTTCCCGTCTAATGGCTGAATCTATCTAGTCTTATCGACTACCACCAAGCTGCGGTTCTTACGGGCCACGAACGGCTCTAGCTTGATTCTACCAGCTAAATTAGGTGAAATGTGGGAAGCCTAGTCGGGGAGATGGAGAAGAGGAAATCGACCCACAGCCATTTCCCCAAATACGGTCATCACCAGCACTGCGACGTTACATTAACCAGAAAATACGGCGGGAACTTCGATTCTCCAATCAGGAGATTGACCAGCCTCCCAAGACCTTGAAGGATGTCCAGTTAGCAATGGGAAATACCATCACCTACATGGACGGCAGACCAGTCTTATTCAAAGTCTCATGCTACATTGGGTAGGGAGTAGTGAGCAATTGAGATAGGTCCGCTCGGCGAGAACTTTGAGGGTTGGTCAAACTTGTCTAAGAACGCCGGTGGAATGCGAGCTGCGTATAGATAAAGTTTCCGCGCGGTGGTGTCAGGCACAGCCAGGAGGTGTACCTTATGATACGTAAATCGACTGACATTAACCTGTAGTAGTGGATGGACGTACTTTGAACGGTCTCAAAAAGGAATTCTCTTGTTCTCTAGATGGAGCTGTCGTGCTCGTAGCAACAGTGGGTCGTACTACCGCACATTCGTCGTGCAGAACACTAGCAGCAGCGTTATCTCTTAGCTGTTCCCGTTTCCGGTACTGTTTGTATGCCTGTTTTACTAGTGGGTTGCTGCACGTGTTGAGAAGAGGGCACGGTTTTAAGTGGTCGGCTCTGGTGGGTGCAATAAGACGTATGCAGCAGGCTTTGAGGTGCAGGCACCAATTTGTTTGAAGAGCTTAATGCGGAACTAAGAGACCTAGCCGATAGGGTGAGGATCGAGACAGGGATCAGGCTAGAGCAGCATGTGACTAGAAAAGAGGTGAAACCCGGACATGACGCGTGCGGGCAACTCAACATAAGCATCATTACAATCAACCAGATCATCAATTTGAACACGGTCATCAAGACCTTCATTTGATCAATCTAATAGCCTGTATCTAGTCTCCTAATGTTACACATTTGACCCCTATTGAATATACTGTATCGGACTGCACGACCAATCAATCAGTTGCAATACCATAGAGGGAAAATTTGTCAATTTGGGTATAAGAAGCTGCTATGCCAAGATGTCCTGGTGTTGAGATCTTTGGACTCTTATCACTCGTAGTGGTGTTGAAACCGCACTTTTATTTCCCCCAACTATCAATCTGTAAGTTTTCCAAACCCAATACAACAGCCTAAAATGCCTCACGTTATCAGTATACCAGGCTACTTAAAGTCTCTTTGTCGGATACCCCTTGTTCTTGCCACCTTGTTCGGCAATTGATGACCTCATATTAGGACGAACAGAGGATCGGAGTGTGGCTGATATGTCGTCTTCCTTCAATTCGCCTTCTTCATGATTATCGTTCTCACCGAAGCCTGTTGCGGTAGTCACACTAGACCCCCTGAGTCTCTTGGGGGCGGGGTTGTTCGAATTTGACTGGGATGATTGAGATGCGTAGATTGCGGGCCTTTTATTCTGGGATGGAGTAACAGGTTGTTGGGATGGATCTCCCTGTGACGATTGTGATGTTTGTGATGATTTTGACTGTAGATTTTTCGCCTGTGAAGCATTCTTTGAGGGCGACTTGAACATAGATCTCATTGCTGCGAAGCTGCCAGGCTGGGATGGGCAAGGTTCGGTTTTAGAGGGGGAGACTGCGTGAGAAGCAGGTACAGGTGGCGTGCTCTTTTCCGGAAACGTCCAAGAGTCGGGGACGACAATGAAAACATAATCCTTCTCATCAGCTGCAGGGGCAGCCACCATAAGACTATGGTCAAGCAGGCCAACTATCTTGCCGACGCAGTGAAAGGGAACACCTGGAACTAACTGTGTATCTTTCCTATCTGCCATCTTCTTGCAGAGGAGAGAGAATGGTAAAGCGTGAATAGGAAAGAGAATAAAAAGTTGAAAGGGGTGGAAGCCTTTGAAGGGACTCTTTGATGGCTGACCCGGAGTGATGTAGGTACAGCACTGGATAAATGCACAGCATCTCAGCTGTGCATCATCCAGCAGCGGGACAGAGTCCTTGATCAGGTGGGTTTGACCTGTCCTGAGAACCTGCCCCATCAAAGAAACGAGTGGTTGGATAAGTGGAAAGCCCCCACTATTACAAAGAGTTCGTAGGTCAATGCTAATAGTTACATTAGTGGCAAGCGTGATAGTCGAACTCGAGCTGAGGGGAAGGATAAGATAAGTCTCTTACGCTTGGTATCCAAAGTCACGTATGAAAACTACTGGAACCTTGTACACTTCGCCGTCGCCATCTTCATCGCTGAAAACATCAGGCTCCCGCAGCACCCACTCCGGTGCGTAGGGGTGTACTTTGCCAGTGAAATGGAACCACTGATTCTCCCACTCTGATGCAACAATTTGCTGGTTATAGACAGAGAGGTTGAGGCTAAAATAGATTGGCAGTAGATCAGGGGATCGGTACTCTTCAGGACGCAACACAGAATATTCAGGTAGTGTCATATAGGGAGGGGGTGAAAGAAAAACTCTAACAAGAGCTTCAACATTAAGGCTCCTTATAAGTTGTTCATCTGATATAGGAAACCACGTTAGGGTATCTGTCTGACCAAAAAAGAACATAGTCATATCACTACCAAGGTTTTTCTGAGAGTCACCGTTCAAGAGATATCCTAGGTTGAAATATAGCTATAGGGTAGACCAAGTCTAGGTTAGGTGGTCTAGGGTAGCCTGGTCTTCTTGCCGTAACTCCCTAGCTCTTAATTAGGCTAATATAGCCCCCCTAGCCTATTTCTGGTTGCTAACGCTAACCCGTAGCGGTGGCTCACGCTAACCCGTAGTAGTTGCGTTCACTAACGCCTAGTGGTTGCGTTCGCTAACGCCTAGCGATTGTAGCCACTAACTTGTAGCGGCTGTAGCCTCTCAATTCAACAGGTCCCGCGGTAGTCCAGCTCGATGAATATAAAGTCCCAGCTCCGGATGATGGGGGATTCGTATCTTCCGGCTAGCAACGACGCGCTTGAGATCGGTTTCCTCCATTTCCTACCTGCCTACACCTTGGAGCCCAACGCGACCTTCCCGAGTCAAGAGCGCGTAGGTTTTGGCCTCTGGGTTGAATACTATCTATTGTAGAACTTCTCGTTAGTAATTTAACTTCGTCTATATATGTGCATGCGTTCTGACGTACTTGATGCCTCCGGAAGAAGTTCACGTTCTTCGAGATGTCGGCTCGTAGGAGGTAAACATCATATATCGACGCCGTAGCCCTATCTATCACGACCGTAGCATCGGCGCGTGCTCCTAGATCGACGGGAACACGCAGGCTCGCCCTACCGTCAGTCTGCCTCCGAAAATAGCCATGGTGCGAAGTGTGTCTCGCCCTCGTAGCAGCCGGGCGCCGCTTCGCGACATGAGAGTCCTCAAACTCCTTCCGAGTATCGTGATGTCTCATGTTCCCACGCACCACAATATCGTATTCAGGATCCCAGTCGGAAGATACTCGAGGAAGAAGGGGAGCAATTGAACGAGGTATCGTCGGGGTCGGTGCTGCTGATGGGACTCTTTGGCGGGCGACTTCGGGAACGGTGAACGAATCGTATATCGCCTTAAGTGGTGGGCCGGTGTAGAAATGGAGCAGCCATTCCATGCTGGAAAAGAAGGTTCCCCACACCATGTCTATCTTTGCGAGGGTTGCAAACAGGGCTACTATCAGAAACGAGATGGTTTTACGTTCTAATATTCACTTGCTAAGGTTAGAAATGACTATATTTTAAAGGCCAGGTAACATGTTAGGAAGAGAGTCACCGGGGTTGCACCTGCAGCTTTAAGTGTACTGTGAGAGGCCTCACAGCACGTCTGGTATGTGAGGGACCTGGTGTCGGTCCCTGGAGGGCGTGGACGAGGGCGTTAAAGAATGATTAGAAACATTACGCATAACATCATACCTGATATAACGCCAACGATTAAGCAGATGATTCATTTATTAATATCTATTTAGCAATTGGAGAAAAGGGCTAACTAGATACAGTAGGTGCATGGGAAAGGGTTCGGTAACATATCCTATGGTGCTCTGGAGGGCAACAGTGCTCCAAGAAATCTATCAGAAAATGCTTCGTTCTCAAGGCGAGGAATCCACCCAAATGTCAGATCAAGACTACAGATCGGGAACTCCGAATGTGCCGCAGGAAGAAGAACCAATGGACTGTCCGACATCAAGTTCTGTCAAGACAGAAAGTCTCGTTTCTTATAATGCCGACATGATATCCAATTCGTCTGACCTTTTCTATGCGCTTACTGCCAGCCTTATTTCGACAGCAGTGGCAATGACTTTTCTTTATCAGCTTCTAGGCTGGCCCTCGCTCGTCGGGATAGGTATTATAGCCATCCTCACGCCTCTTCCTTCCATATTCTCGCAGCGAATGTCACGGCTCCATCGATATATTATAGAGGCCACTGACCTCAGGCTGAGTCGCCTCTCCGAGTACCTACACGCGCTCCCTATAATAAAGTATTTCGCATGGGAGCCCGTGGTCGCTGAGAATATCAACACGATTCGGAAAACGGAATAGTAAAGGATATGGAAACGCAATGTGACCTAGCGTCGGCATCTCTCCCGGACAAAATGGACACTTTAGAGTGCCCGCTGTACATATCATACCACTAATTGTAAACCAATTTGGCAGTGACCCAAAGGCAAGAGTGCCTTGAAACCTAGAAATCGGGTGCCGTAGATAACCGGGGCTTGTGCCTTCCCTATGAGGGTAAGATCGTTCTCCTCAAGAGATAGCTCTCGTTTTCTATTCTCCAAGAGTTATTGATGATTAAGGTGGACGTTGGGGTGTACCTCAATGCCATCATAACTGGTATAATGGTCTGAAGGGGGAGTAAAGTATACTGGCTGATGCTTACTAGTCTGCAGTGTGATAGGCATCGGCTGGGGATGAGGCATGTTGGAAGAAGTGGCTATTAGTATGTTTGTATGGAACTTCACTCAATTAGAAAGGGCTACATTGTCCTCACCTGCTGCATCCGAGCTTCTTTGGCTCCAGGATGCTATCTGGCTCTCAGATGCTTCTTGCCCAGGGTTCTGATCATCGGGAAGATGATGACGTTTCATTGTCGCAAGAGGATTAGGCGCACGGATTAATTTATCGGGAGCAGCTGATACCTAGAGTTAGGTGTAGTATGGAGATCCAAGCTTAGGAAGATTTCTCTGCCTGTAGAGCTCCCGCCGACTGGCCCCGAGATTCCGTTCACCAAACTTGGCTTGGCAGGAATTGGCTGGGTGTTGCTGAAGATAAAGAAGAACTATGTTTGGTTCACCAATCGTATTTTTAGGTAAGTGCACCTCTAGATACATAGGAGAAGAATGTTTTTAAAAATTTAAAAACGGATGTCCGAAACTGTTGAGCATATCTAAGGGTGGGAGGTGGGATAGGCATTAGATGGTGATATTAAAGAGAAAGGATTAGCAAGACTTATTACAAATGTAGGCGCTCCGCCTAACGAATGAAATCTAATTATTTCTATTTCGATTGGAACTACCAGCAATATATATGCCCCCACTATCGGGTACACGGGGTATTTACATGTGTAGACCTAGCATTAAGCCTGTCTGGAACATGTATATCACCATCATGATTACCATAATCATAAGACAAAGCTCAATACATTTTAATTCGCTCTCACACCTGGCCTAAGAAAAAAAAACTTTAAATAAGATAGAATACCATTGAGAAGGAATAAAGTAAACAGCAATCAAGGCAGGAAAATACTTAGTCGGATTATTATATCCATTTTCCTGGGCAATCTTGGACCACATATAATAAATCATTAACTTCTTCCTGAGGGATAGTCTTTCAGTATGGCCTAGTCTTTGCATCCTCAAAGGCAAATTTGAATTTATATATACCAGTTGCAATAGCATTCTCCAAGACTCGCCCAGCGGTAAGTTGAGTCGTTAATTGGGTGAAGGGAAGGATATCATGCATATCTTTGAGGGCGTCCTTATTCAGTCTTACATACCTGCTTGGTGACGCCCCACGCATCTCTCTCTGATTGTAACAGTTCAAATGCTTGCAATGGTACGAATGGTAGCAAACCATAAAATCCTTCCTTGCCTGGGATATCGCTTCTGGAGGGATTGCATATGTTCAACCAGCGTTTGGCTTTGTCTCATTTGTCTCGAGCAGAATGGTAATCAGCTCTCGTCCACCCAAGATTTTCACAGACTACATCAACTTGGTCTGGCGATCGTCTGGTTCGAGTGGACATAAGTTGAAGGGAATGCACTCGAGTACGATATAAGCCAAGTTCCCCGTCCCTTTGGCTTGCGATCAGGCAGGTCAAAAGCGATCGAACGGAATCAGGGCCACTCGCACCCACTTCTAGCTGTAGAATCATTCTGGGCGTCTGAAAGAGTTTCCATGCATCCACCAGGCGAACAAACTGTATGAGAGCTTCCCGGCTGCAAATAGCGGCCGCTAATTCGTAGGTGTCTGATTTGGTGTATTGAGTACGCGGCGGAAGAATGCATAGTGCGTCCTTTTTCAACAAAAGATCTTTAAGTTGAAAACATTGCTTCTCAAGAAGACGGGAGCTTTGGCGTTCGGTTGCAGAAATTTCCTGGGATCTTTTCCATTTCCGACTTCTCGAGATAACCGTGAAATGGTATTTCTGATGAAGATTATACATCCCACACTCGGAGTATACTTTGATATCTCCGGGAAATAGTGCTCTGTCTGGCAGTACAAGATTGGTAGATACACTGGCGCAATCTGTAAGGTTGACGCACAAGTGGTAGCAGCATTCGCTTAATAGTCTCGCTGTACAGGGTCCATCGATGTATAATTCAAAGTCGCGTTTTCCGGAGGCCCCAAGTAACAGAAAGTCTTAAATTTTAAGTAGTATAATGTGGCACTTTTCATTCATTATGCAACTTTTTAGCATGGGGTATTTTAACATAAGAC